GTGAAACTGATTTAGAGACAAGAGTCTTCCAGAAGCCAAACCTCAGGGGCAGCCGTGACCGGACAGAGTACAAGTCTCTAGAAACTAGCAGAAATTTTGAGGAATCTGGACCGCATGGATGGCGCGGTAGGGGCTTGGGGACCACACCGTGTGTTCTGAGAGGAACACAGAGGGTCTGCATGATTCTCTGTTAGGTATTATTCAGGATCCAAGTGTGGGGTGTCGGAGATTGCCCCAGTAATTCACTGCATCTACCAGGCGACCTTATGTCTCTCCCTGGAAATCTGGGCCTCTTTCCCCCACCCTTCTCTCTCCTTTGTCTAATCCTGGGGACAAAAGAGCAGAAGTAGTCAAGTGAGTGGCTTGGAAGCCAGCTTTCTGGGTCAGATTGTCCATCTGTAAAGCAGGGAGGCACCCAATTTTCAAACAACCAATGATCCCTCATTGCCTTAGAACGCCATCAAGGTCTGCCCACTTTCATGGCCCCAACGTCACTGCTTTTTCCTCTTGCCACTCTGATGCCTTTGCCTTTCTTCTTCTATCTGCACCGACTTTCCCCCCAAGTATTTGCTTCGTCTGCCGGCAGTGCCCCCCTTCCCTCACTCTGTAACGTGGCCATCTGCGAAGGAATGTCCTCCGCGAGGCATGCTGAAATCTTAGTGTGAACCACTGACAGAAACCTCAACTCTCGGACTTTTTTCCCGCTTTATTTTGAAGTAAAAGGGGGCGGGGGGAGGATGAAAGCACACCCACATCGGGAAAAATTGTTTACTTATTTATTTTGAGAGAGCAGAGGAGGGGCAGAGAGAGAAGAGAGAAGGGAGAGAGAGAATCCCAACGATGTGGGACTTAATCCCATGAACCGTGAGATCCTGACCTGAGCCGAAATCAGGAGTCAGAGGCTTAACTGACACCAAGGCACCCCTAGAGACTGTTGTCAAGAAGTGATCCCCAGGGGTCCCTGACGGGCTCCACCGATAGAGCATGTGACTCCTGATCTCAGGGTCATGTGTTCAAGCTCCATAATGGGCGTGGAGCCTGCTTTTAAAAAAATTAATAAAAATAAATGATTCCCAGCTTCTTCTCTAAGAGCAGTTTATGGTGAACAACTTCCTGCCTTCGGAGGCCTACACTGGCCGACTCCTCTCTCACTCCTTCCTCCCAGCGTACAGCGACTAATAAGGAAAAGGTCGATATCACAATTGTTGGGGCACATGTTTGTCCTTCCCACCCTAACCTCCTTGACACCTGCCAAGATGACACACACATGAACGGAGCACACACATGTGCGCACACACACATCAGAGTGTGACATCATCATCTCTGACATATTATGTATTGGTTGTTGTTGTTTGTTGTCTGCTTCCCCCCCACCTCCTGTCACCGAATTGTAAGCCCCCTGGGACTTAGTTTTTTGCTCACTGTTATATGTCTAGTGCGTATATTATGCAACACATAATAGGATTCATTCAATATTCAACAAGTGTTGAATGCAGAAATGAATGAATGAATGTAATGAATGATGGATGGATGACTGAATGGTGAAAACAACTCACTAAACTTATAAGAGTAGAAGGGTTGCTACTTATTAATTATGCAATCTTAAGCAGGACTTAAATCTTCTAACGAATGAATGATGGGTGGGTGGATAGAGGGATGGGTGGATGGATGGATAGATGGACAGATGGATGGATGGATGGAGGGTAGGTGGATGGATGGATGGTTGGATAGACGGATGGATAATGGGTGGGTGGACAGATGGATGGATGGAGGGAGGATGAATGGGTGGATGAATAGATGGATGATGGGTGGATGGATGATGGAAGAACGCACTTAAGTCACTTAATCAGTAGTTCTGCTACTTCCTAGCTTCACAGTCTTAACTCAGAACTTACACCTGTGTGGGCCTCAGTATTCTCATCTGTGAAAAGGGCAGAGCAGCATTTTAAAAGAAACACAAAAGTTACAGAAGAACTAAGTCTACCCATACCTCCATGTGCAGCTCTAACACCATCATCACCATGTAGACTTTACCTGTTCCTCCAACAGCATCTGACACTCCTCTAGATTCCTCTACACCTTCTATGTGTCCTTCTTATGCATGATCACTGAGGGCTGAGAATGTGCTCTGGAGATGAACAGAACTTCAAGACTGACTGAGAAGAGATCCCTGGAAGACTAAAGGGGGCCTTAGGAGAAAGCTAGAAATGCACTAGGTGGCATGAGAAGGACTTTTTGACAAAATGAAGGAAATTCACAGGAAGAAAGGAAAATAGAGAAGGCAATAAGGGGAGAAAAAGCAGTAAATGCAGCCTCGACCTTCTTGAAATCGGAAAATTATCTGCACGAAAGTGGTAGGATTTTTTAGAGCAAGGAAGGCATAGGCTGAGGGAAATTAGAAGCCCCATGGACACTAGATCCCCATGAAAAGGATGGGAAGGCCACAGGGCCATTCATTACAGGCAAGGGCACAGGAGGGGATGCTTATGTGTCAGTGATTTTCCTGTGTCCCAGTAGAAACAGCAGCATTTATGTACAAAATGAACAAATTATGCAGGGCACCAGAGGCGGGTCTCAGGACTCAGCACAGTGTGGAAGCAGAGGGACCCTGTGTGTGGTCACTGGTATCCCAGTGAAGAGGAACAGTACCACCTAGCGTTCAGCAGCTTGCACCTACCTAGCTTTTAACATTTCACGACTGAAAGAATTTGAGAATCTCGTTCAGCTAAAACATATTTTGGGCTGACGTATAAACAGTCGATTCATTGCCAAGAATAAACGATGCAGTCATTCCTTTTATGCTTTGAGAGAGGAAGGATGGATTGGAAAAGAAAAAGAGGGTAAGAGGGTGTTGAGGGTTCCAATTATGGGTCAGGATACAGCCCTGCAGAGACTGTAAAGGGAGGCAATCAACCCACACAGGAGATCTCAAAGGCTTCTAATTTTGCAGAGGGCTGTCATTCAACTGGGCAAGGTTAAAGGGGACGTGTGTAGTGAGCTGTCCATTGTGCTAAGGCCTAGGGGACACAAGAGGGAGCTATGCCAAAAAACCCAAGATAGAAGTAAACATCAAGGTCTGTGGAAACAAAGAAGGGAGCAATTAACTTGACATGTATAAGGGACCGGGCAAACAGGGTCCTCTTCCCAGCTCTACCATTCCCTCACTGTGGGTCCTCAGACGAGTTACCTTAAGTCTCTCCGAGCCTCAGTTTCCTCCATGAAAATGATGATGGTAATAATGACCACACCGTATTGCAAGGATTAAAAAATGTATTTGAGGGGCGCCTGGGTGGCGCAGTCGGTTAAGCGTCCGACTTCAACCAGGTCACGATCTCACGGTCCGTGAGTTCGAGCCCCGCGTCGGGCTCTGGGCTGATGGCTCAGAGCCTGGAGCCTGTTTCCGATTCTGTGTCTCCCTCTCTCTCTGCCCCTCGCCTGTTCATGCTCTGTCTCTCTCTGTCCCAAAAATAAATAAACGTTGAAAAAAAAATTAAAAAAAAATGTATTTGAAAGAACCTAACACAATGCCTAACACCTACAAATATTCACTAAATGTGAATTCCTATTATAGAGGAGGCTTCAGGGAAGGTGTCATTGGGCAAGAGACTTTTGAGCTAGATCTAAAAGAAGTAAGAGTTTCATTTTCTCATCTGAAGAACTCTATCCCCCCTTAATTGAAAGAATAACTCGAGATGGATGTGCTTGGAGCAGTGAGGCTGATCGATGTATGTACCCCTCCTTCTAGACAGATAAATGACTTACTACAAGATGTCAGTGGGTGACAGCTGTCGCAGGCAGATCACCCAGACCTCCCAAAGAACAAGCAGGTTACGCCCAGGTGGAGATAGCATACTTTCTGTTGCCAATCACCCTTCTCTGCAGAGCCATGGGTTGAGATTGCAGGCTGTGTCCCTGAGGGTGTTCACAGGCTGTGGCCGAAAACGGCAGGTCAGGGAGGTATTTACTACAGACAGCAAGAAAGGTTATTCTTGCACTTTCTGAGAGCAATCTGCTGTTTTTCTGCCTCTAATGGATTCGGAAGGCATTGTCACTGCAGAAGACCAGGCTGATTCCACCCCAAAGATACTTCTCAACAGCACCTGTGCTTTCCCGGCTGGTGCACAAGACACATTTAAAAATTCCTCGGCTTTAATGATGGAACTTGCAGATTCTCCCACATCCTAATCGATAATCACAGGAACACTTCAGGAAGGAGGAAATAGGTATCTGTTGTGAAAATGAACAGGCTTCTTTCCCTACACACGGCCAAGAGCAGGAAACCAGTTCTGCACATCTCTGTCTTGCTTAGAGCGCCACCTGCCGGTCCAGAGAGGTGCTTTCCTACCCAGGAGATCTTTTCCCTGTAGGAATCCTACAAAATTCATGCTTCTTCACAACCAAGAAAAATAGAGATCAGCACTGTACTAGGCATCAGTACATGCCAAAGTGCAAGTGACACATGCAACCTAAGAGACATCTTATTTCCAGCTAGGAGGGCAGGAAGAGACATCAGAGCAAAGAAATCAATTTGTGAATATATCAAAGTTAAACTTAACTCAATGTGAAAGCAATAATCGAGCCCAGCAATATGTGCCTAGCGTTGTTAGGTGCTGATAATACTGAAGGGGATACAGTGTTTTACCATCACAGACCCAACTTCAATAATGAGTGACAATTAAAATACAGAGTGAGAGGGGCGCCTGGGTGGCTCAGTTGGTTGAGCGTCCGACTTCGGCTCAGGTCATGATCTCGCGGTCTGCGACTTCGAGCCCCACGTCGGGCTCTGTGCTGACAGCTTGGAGCCTGGAGCCTGCTTCAGATTCTGTGTCTCCCTCTCTCTCTCTGCACCTCTTCTGCTCACTCTTATGCTCTGTCTCTGTCTCTCTCTCTCAAAAATAAATAAACATTAAAAACATTTTTTTAAATAAAATAAAACAAAATAAAATAAAATAAAATAAAATAAAATAAAATAAAATAAAATAAAATAAAATACAGAGTGAGGGGGCGCCTGGGTGGCTCAGTTGGTTAAGCGTCCGACTTCAGCTCAGGTCATGATCTTGCAGCTCGTGGGTTCAAGTCCTACATCAGGCTCTGTGCTGACAGCTCAGAGCCTGGAGCCTGCTTCGGATTCTGTGTCTCCCTGTCTCTCTGTGCCTCTACCGCTAGCGCTCTCTCTCTCTCTCTCTCTCAAAAATAAATAAATATTTTATAACTGTTTAATAAAAAAAAAAAGATAGAGTGATCATGTGACCCAATTATAAAGAGTATGAAGGGAGCCTAAAGAAGACAGAAGGTTGAGGGGTCTCCGAGTACAGTTCTTGAAAAGCTAGACAGGTAAAGGCAAAAAGAGGGAATGAAAGAGGCGTTCAGTTTGTGGGGATTAATAGATATATTTAGGGGTATAGATCAGAGCAGGGGTCATCCAGGGGGTGCCCCAAATCACTGATGGGGAGGCCCCAGCCGCACAGCTTGTACCGTATCCCCGCATGCCCCAGGCAGGGCTGAGTGGACTAGGAGGGAGCACATTACCCAGCCTGAGCTGGGGCGTTAGAACAGAGACTTCAGGGTCTCTGATTGGGAAGAAAGGCGTCTAACTTGAGATGCCAAGAAGCCAGGACTGGCTGTGCAGGTGAAGCAGAAGAGAAATAAAGTCTTCAGGAGGAAAAAAAAAAAAGTTCCATTTGGGTTCAGCACCTCTCTGCTACTGTTGTCTCTCTCCTGGGTTATTTTAGGAGCCTCCTAACACGCATCCCTGCCTCTGCCCTCGCCCCTCTCAGTCTCCTTTACAGCAGGAGGTGACTCCGTCCTGACTCTAACCAGACTCCTTCAGTCCCTCCTTAATTGTGTCCTAGTGTCAGACCTCAGAGTCGAGACCTAAAACAGTTCAAAAAACCCATATGGCCGCCCCCAGTATCACCAATCTAATCTCCAGCTAACTTCCCTCTGGCTCACTCTGCCCCTCCCCCCAGGCCTCTCTGCTGTTGCTGGAAATGCTGCCTCAGGGCCTTTGTGTTCCCTCTGCTCTCAGCCTGGAATCTCTTCCTCCAGAGAGCCAGAGGGCCAGTAACGCAGGCATTCACCCCTTTAAGGTTTGTTCGAGTATCAGGGCACCAGGGTGGCTCAGTCCGTTGAATGTCAGACTCTTGATTCCAACTTGGATCATGATCTCACGGCTTGTGGGATCGAGCCCCAAGTTGGGCTCTGTGCTGACAGTGAGGGATTCTCTTGGGATTCTCTCTCTCTCCCCCTCCCTCTCTCTCTCTGCCCCCCACCCCCCGCACGTGTGCTCTCTCTCTCTCTCTCTCTCTCTCTCTCTCGAAATGAATAAACTTAAAAGAAAAGATTTGTTCAAATATCAACTTTTCAGTGAGATCTCTCTTTATTCCCCAATTAAAAATTAAAACGCTGTATAATATCTCCTACCCCCTGTCCTTGCTGTATTGTTCCTAGAACTTATCACCATCTGACACACTACAGATTTTCTTTATTTAGATTGTATACTGTCTGGCTTTGACCCCACCACCACCTCCAACTGTTACTAGAATATGGGGAAGAGATTTTAACCAATTGGTTAGCTAATTAATGCTTAGTGGAGTAGATGGGTGCATGGAGAAAGCTCCTTCTGGGTCCTAATTGTTGTTCTAGCTCTTCATTCACCTGCTCCTGACCCTGCCACATACCTGCCATTGGGTCCTAAGTAACCCCTCTGCACTTTATGAGAAATTCTTCTTTGGTTGCTTAAAATAATCTCAGTTCATTTTTGTTGCATGGGCAAACTAAAAAGTCCTACTGGATAAAATGAGAGAACGGTCTTTGAAGATGCCCTATCTGAAATAACTTGTCCTCTAAATATCCCGAAGCCTTGCTCCCTTCCGTCACTTAGGTTTCCGATCAGGTGTCTCTGTTATCATAGAGGTCTTCTCTGACCACCTTCTCTAAAATAGCAACCTTCTAGAATGGATCTCAAGTGTTCTCACCACACACACACACACACACAAAAGTACCTATGTGAAATGATGGATTTGTTAACTAGCTTGATTGTGGTAATCAAGGTATATGTACATCAAAACATCATATTGTAGAACCTAAATATATACCGTTTTTATTTGTCAATCATAGTGATATACAACTGGGAAAGAAAATAAAATGGCGCCCTTCTGTCTCCCCATCACAGTCTATTCCGACCCAAACTTCACGTCTCTTCGTAGCACATAGGGCTAGTCTGATGATATATTTATTTGCGTACCGCTCCCTCCACTGGAATGTAAACTCCAGGAAAACAGAGACATAGGGTTTTTATCACTGGATCCTCTGTGTTTAGAATAGTCTAGCACCCAGCTCACACTCAGTACCTGTGTGTTCATCTACTCAATCTACACAAATACGTTTAAAATGCCACTCACCGTTCCCAGTGCTGTGGAAACACCTGCCCTGCACAAACCTATGTTCTAAGAGGAGATTTTTGTTAACTGTGAAGTGAATACACTCAGAGGTGAGAAATGCAGAGGCTGTGTTGAAGTGTTGCTGGACCTGAGAGTTGAGACAAGAACTGAACTTGAGAGACCACCATGGAGACCCTGGTGAGTCGTAGAAGGCTTTGGTTGGTTGCTTGCCCAACATCCACCTCCCCCCCGCCCACACACCAACAGAACACAGATTTTCTACTGGAGAACTACCCTCCATCCAATTTCGGCAACACTAGATCGATACTACCTTCAGCTCTAGGAGCCGCGTTTCAATAGATGTAAGCAATCAGCATGTGACCCTTTGGCCACCAACGTTGGTTTGCAGTAGAACGAACGTGTGACTCAGTTCAAACTAGCAAGGCAGGAAGACATATTTGTTGAAGCTTCTGGGCAGGAAGTGCCTCTCTTTTCCATAGGAACTAAAGGAAAGGAACCGCTTTCCTGTGGATAGCCAGGTTGAAGCTGTGTGTTCCAGAACCCTTGCAGCAAACATGGCTTCCAGAAGCTAAAGAATGAACAGTACAAGGTGGCATGTGGAGGGCAAAGCAACATATAGAAAATGGCAGAGTTCAGAGAATTGCCCTGATGATGTCAGAACCCCCTGGAACAAACGGCCTGAAGCACAACTTCTGAACTTTGCTGTCCTACAAGCAAATACACGCCCTTTATGGATTAAACCAGTTTAGTATTTGTCAAACTAGGAAAGGAATACATGCTTGTTGAAACATGAGAAATAGTAAAAAAATACATAAGACAGAGCTAATCAGCTGCTTCTATGTTCCTTCTCACCCTATCTTCTGAAATATCCAATATTAACAGTTGGATGTTGTATGGGTTGGAATGTGTCTCCCCAAAATTTCCTATGTTGAAGTCTTAAGTTCCAATATCTCAGAGTGTGACTCTATTTGGAGATAGGATCTTTAAAAAGGTAATTAAGTCAAAATGAGGACTACAGGTGGGCCCTAAACCAATAATATTGGTGTCTTTATAAGAAGAGATTAGGACAAACACACAAAGGGAAGACCATGTGAAGATATGAGAAGACAGCCATCTGCAAGGCAAAGAAAGAGACCTCAGAAGAAATGAATCCTGCCAACACCTTGGTCTTGGACTTCTAGCTTCCAGACTTGTGAGAAAATGAATTTCTGTTGCTTAAGCCATTTAGTATATGGTACTTTGTTATAGCAGCTGTTGCAGACTAATACACATTTGTATCTTTCCACACCTATCTCCTTGCTTTCATCTACACCTACAACGTATCTACACACAACCATGGATTCTGTCTTTGTTTCTATCAAAAGATTCCTACAATACACCCGCTTTTGTCACAAAAAGCATGGGTACTGCTAAAAATCAGCTGAGACCAGTCCATCTCACCTATTTCCTAATTTTACATGCATGTGCATGTAAATAAATATAATTTCATATAAATGCCATTATATACAACTTGGGGTCTGGAGGAAGAGTTTCTTGTTTTCTGTTTGGTTTTCTCGTTTGTTGTTTGTGTGTTTTGTTTCTGTTTTTGTTTTGGGGGGGGTACTGTTTTCTTTTACTTTCATTTCTTCCCCAAGGTTTGTCTCTCTTCTTTTCCTTCATACCCAAGATAAACCAAATTAACAACCTCATGTGTGTCCCAGCACCCACACTTTTCTCTGATCCATGTAATCTTTTTATTGCCAAGTTATAGCATTCCAACCCAACTGCACAATCTCTAGGAGCTGATGGCTATAACACAAAGATGTGCCTTCACCCCATCCAGTCCAGTCCCAGCGTGGATCTCATGATAGTTCACGGTGGATCTCATTATGCCTCAGGGCTCAGGGGTTAAAATGAGAGCCCCAGATGTGGACTTTGCCCAAAGCCAGAAGCAGAAGAAACATGGCTGACCACATGTGACCTTATGATTGCCTTTGTTAGCACACAAGAGACACCTGCTGGAGACCGTCAAGATTGGTGGGAAAAGCGAAATTGTGCCGTGGCTGCTGGATACCCTGTAGTAGTCGGAAAGCCCTACAAAAACTGTTTTGTTCTCCCCAATTTAACTCTCCCTGCCCCAACGTCGTGTTTAGATGATAACATGGGAACAGACTGGTCTCCGAAAACAGCTCAGACGCACTGATGGCAATCGGTTGTTACTGTCTAGTGTAAACATGACTTATCTGTGTTAACAGCAATGTTTTTGTGCCTTTATAGATCCGTAAAGTATGAGAATAAGACAAGAAGTTCCCATTTACCTTCCTTTTAAAGACTCAAGTTATGGAACCAGTCCTGTTGCACTTTGCTCAAGGTGATCTGTCTTCGGCAGGGTAAAGGCAGAATAGATCAGAGAGACTCCAGACCCAAGGAAGCGCTGTTAAGAGAACAGTGGAATTTCACACAGGATGGCCTCCAGGTACGTGCCATTCAGAAACCAGCTCTGTGGCCGCTGAGCTCACAGTTTTAGGCCACACATCCACACACCAGCAGCCTGTCTGTGCCCTACCAGGAGCTTTATTCTATGCAGCAACTGATTCCACCTCTTTCTCCAGCGTGAGATAAATGCTCATTCGGGCTCGCACACTAGAAATATCCTGTATTTCAGAAACAGAGTGTTGGGGTGCCTGGGTGGCTCAGTCAGTTAAGCGTCTGGTTCTTGATTTTGGCTCAGGTCCTGATCTCGTGATTTGTGGGTTCGAGCCACACATCCGGCTCTGTGCTGACAGTGTGGAGCCTGCTTGGGATTCTCTTTCTCTGTCTCTCTCTCTGCCCCTCCGCTGCTTGCTCTAAGACGCATAAATAAACTTTAAAAAAGGAAGAAAGAGAAAGAAACAGGGGCGTCTGGGTGGCTCAGTCGGTTAAGCGCATCCAACTTCAGCTCAGGTCATGAACTTGCATTTCGTGAGTTCAAGCCCTGCATTGGGCTCTGTGCTGATAGCTCACAGCCTGGAGCCCACTTCAGATTCTGTGTCTCCCTCTCTCTCTCTGCCCCTCCTAGCTCATGTTTTGTCTCTCCCTCTCAAAAATAAACATCAAAAAAATATTTTTTAAAGAAAGTTTTACAAAAAATAAATAAAAGAAGACAAAATGGAGGGTTTTACAAATAGATAAACTCTTCAAAAGAGATTCTGAATAAAAGATATGTACAGGTTAACACATGTGAAGATGGAAAAAAAACAATGATAATCCTCTCAAGCAACAAGTGCAAATCAGAACCATAATAAAATATTTGGGGTCAAGAAAAGAGCAAAATAAAAGATAATGTAGTGTTGGTGAAAATACAGGGAAACTGGATTGTCACACAGTCGATGGGAGAATAAATTCGTACAAGCTTTCCAAAAAGCAATTTGATAATTCATAAGCAAATAAACACATGACTACTTTTGAACTGCAACTCTGTTTATGGACGTTAATTCTGGTATACAAATATTTATTGTCTTAGTAAGCTGTTCATAATACACGAGGCTGTTAGTTTTTCTTTATTTTTTAATTAGGCTTCAGACCCACAATCTGAACTCACAATCCTGCGATCAAGACCCTGCGACGAGAACCGAGCTGAGACCATGGGTCAGAAGCTTAACCAACTGGGCCACCCAGATGCCCCAATATATGAGGTTTTTAAAAATATGAATGGAAGAAGCTTATCGATGGGGGCATCAAAGGCAAGCTGAGGACAAAGCACAAGCTGACACGCCACACCCCCCCCCCACACACACACCAGGTGGGACACCTGTGACATTCTTCAGGCTCTCCTGGCTACCCAAGAACAAAGGAAAGGGAAAAACAAGTGGTTAACTGATAGAGATCACAGTCCTGCAGGATGAGTCTCAATCAGTCTGCAACTTAATGATTTACAAAAACAAAACAAAACAAAAAAACAGGCAATCTCCAGAAACCTACAGTCACAGTTTCCTGGAGCCCTAACATCACCCTCCCGTCCAGTGATGGGGGGAAGAAGACAAGAAGAAAATGTAAATGAAATTCAATTCGTTTGTAAACTGGAGCCCACCGGACAGATGCTTGAGGCTGGTGGAGTAGAACATTTCTCCAGCAACTCCCTACTGTCTTCATGTTAATGCTTTGCTAGGGGGAAAAAACCACCTTAGCTTGACAATAGCTGGGCCTCCAGTATCTCAGGAGTTCTCTTTAGCACACGAGGTTTCTCTTTGGAAACCTCCCTTTTGCCTTTCCCTCCCCCAACTCCACAGTATTTAACCAGTCACCCCTCACCACCCCAGTGCAGCTCTTTCTGCCCGCAGGTCCTGTCCCCGGGCTCTAATAAATCGTCTTTTGCACTAAAGACCTCTTAGGAACTCCTTTTTGGCCATCGGCTCCTGACCCCCACCCTCCCTCCGAAACTTCATCACCTTCCTAGACGTAGTTTTAATCCCAAAAGGCTAGAGGGATTCAGATCATTCCAAGTGTCTACTTACTGCACCTTTTAAAATGCTGCCAGACCCACTGGTCACCATCGAAGCTAAAATAAGGAAGACAGTAGGCTAAAGACTTACTGCATTGGTAGACCGCTAATTCACCTTGTGAGAGTCCCAGACCCCCTGCTCTGGATGTTTTTAGCCTTCTCGTGCCCTCAGCCTGGACAAAGCAGTTGGCTTTGGAGTTTGACAGACTGGTCTCACACTTGTCACTCATTATCCATGTGTGAGGTCAATTGTCAGGCTTTGGGCTTCAAGGTCCTTATCTGCAAAAGGGGGGGGGGGATGTTCCCCGCCTCGGGGGGTTCTGCAAGGATTAACTGAAAGAGTGCACATTAAGTGCCGACCATGGTGCCTGGCGCTTAGGAGTAAATGGGCAATAAATATCCCTGTATGTGTGTAGTTGGGGACCGTCCAGAGCAGCAGTGAATTTCTTGGGCCTGTGATGGAGGGGCTGGTTAGTGTCTCCACTGTCCCCTTGTGAGTGAAGCATGCGATGAGTATGGTGTTCTCATGGGTCAACAGCCATTCCTGGTGCTTTTATTTTTGCTGCCTTTGTAGCAGAACCTTGATAAATTACAGCTATTTGCACGAAACTGGATTGCACAAATTGGATATCTGTGTCCATGCTTTGCTTCAATCTCATGCTGAGGTAATGTGATTATTACAAAGTGTGTATGTGTGTGTGTGTGTGTGTGTGTGTGTGTGTTTATTCTTTTACTATGGTCAGGGTCTTTTCATCCATTTCTTACTTAGTAGACAGTAAAATCCTTTGGAAATAAGGACACAATGTTAGGGAAGTACTTCTTTCTTTTTTTTAATTAAAAATATTGTTTTAATGTTTACTTATTTTTGAGACAGAAAGAGACTGAGTGCGAGCAAGGGTGGGGCGGAGAGAGACGGAGACACAGAATCTGAAGCAGGCTCCGGGCTCTGAGCTGTCAGCTCAGAGCCCGACGCGGGGCTCAAACTCACGGACTGTGAGATCATGACCTGAGCCAAAGTCAGATGTTTAACCTACTGAGCCATCCAGGTGCCCCTCTTTTTTTAATTTTCAAAATAATAATAATAATTATTATTATTATTATTATTATTATTATTATTTTGCTATAGCACTCCTCAGTATCTGAAATGGTCGTATTTATTAAATGCTTAATTATTCACTATCTTTCTCATCCACTAGACTATGAGCTCCTTGAGGGCAGAGAGCACATCTGGTTGTTTTTTCACCCCTGTTCCTCTAGTACCTAGATCAGTATCTGGAACATAATTGGTGCTCAGTAAATACTTGTCAAAAGAGAAATGTAAAAGGAGAACATGCTTTTGTGAAAAGATTTCACCAGCCTGAACCAGAGGGAGCCACCCGTGAGGCCCAGCTAATATGCTTTTTTGAAAAATTACTAGGTTACTAGACATCTATTAAAATCCTGAACAGGGGCACATGGGTGGTTCAGTCAGTTGAGAATCCAACTTCAGCTCAGGTCATGATCTCACGGTTCATGAGTTTGATCCCCACGTCGGGCTCGCTGCTGTCCCAGCTTGGGGCCCACTTCGAATCCTCTAGCCCCCTTTCTCTCTACCCTTTCCCTGCTCAGGCTCTCTCTCTCTCTCTCTCTCTCTCAAAAATAAATAAACGCTAAAAGAAATCCGGAACTTTTGCTTTTCTGGAAAATTACGTGACTTCTGGGAGCACAGTACAAACCCAACTTTTACTGTAAGCAACTGACACTGCTTCTGGGTGATGTGGACTCTTCTCCCCAGTTTCATCCCCACTAATGTGGAGAACAAAGGCAAAAGAAATGCAGAAAAATATTAAACTTTCTGGAGCGCCTGGGTGGCTCAGTCGGTTAGGCATCGACTCTTGATTTCGGCTCAGGTCACGATCTCACGGTTCGTGAGATGGGGCCCTAAGACAGGCTCTGCACTGAAAGTGTGGAACCTGCTTGGGATTCTCTTCTCCCTCTTTTTCTGCCCCTCCCCGGCTCATTCTCTCTCTCTCTCTCTCTCTCTCTCTCTCTCTCTCTCTCTAATAAATAAATAAACTTAAAAAAATACAAATATTAAACTTCTTTGTAACTTACATCCCGTTGACAAATACTTGAGACAGACCAAGTGACCTTCCTCCAAGAACTCAGCTGCCTCAATGTGAATACTTTGCTAGCAGCAAAAGGCAACCTTAGCTTGACATAAACCTGACCTCCAGGATCCAGTAAGTCTTCTTCAGCATATAAAAATCCCTTCGACTTCCTTTATCTCTGCCTATGCCCCGAGATATATGTTAACAATTAGCCTGCAAACATATGGCCCACTGATACATATCTGAAGGGTCTCACGACTGAGACAGTAGTAAATGACCTTGTCCCAATAGCAGCAAGCCACTCAAGGGCCTGGAAACCTTGCTTACAAATTCCTTAGAGACTTACCCTATCTCTAACCCCCTCCCAGCTTGAAAGTATATAATCAGTCACTTCTCACAATCCCAGTGTAGCTCTTCTGCCCACGGGTCCTGTCCCTGTGCTTTAATAAAACCACCTTGTTTGCACCGAAGACGTCTCAAGAATTCTTTTTCTTTTTTTTTTTTTAGTTTTATTTATTTATTTTGAGCGAGAGAAAGAAAGAGCAGGGAAGGGGCAGAATCCTCCCTTGAGGTGGGGCTCAAAGCCACAAACCCTGATATCTTGACCTGAACCAAAATCAGGGGTCAGATACTTAACTGACTGAGCCACCTGGGCACCCCTCAAGAATTCCTTCCTGACTGTTCGCTCCCAGACCCCAACATTTCACATCACCTACCACCAAGTCTCCCTCTAGAGAACAGAAGAAAATATTTTTAAAGTATCCCTGAATCCCAACATCCTTAGCAAACGCTCCTTATGCTTTTATGAAGTTCTTCGAGATTTCCATTGTGAAAACACGGTCAGATTTCATGGTTGTTGTTCATGGTGCAGCAATATTGTAGCAAGATTATAAACACATAGACAGTCTGAAAATATCTTTGTACATGGTGTGGAGAGAGATCTTCCAGAGTATCCTCTGAAATATCATTCAGAGTAAAAATGCCATGAGGCTGTACTCTCATTATTGTGGGTTTATTCCTTCTTCTCATTCACTGGGAGGTGAGAACATATTGACGACAAAGATGCCCTTAGGCTTTTGTTCTTCTACAAAGAAGTTTCCATGGAGTTCAACAGCTCTCAGTGAATCACTGTAAGACACTGTGTTAACTTCCCGTAGCACACCAGGGCCATCAAGGATTCTCAACACCTTAATACTGCAACCATCTCTCATAACACATGCAAGCCGCCTCTTAAGGAATGCAGAAACAAAATAGTTCTAACGCATACAAAAATTTTTAAGAAGAAAAACATAGTAAACGGCAGGGGGAAGGAAAAATTGCTAAAGCCTCCCTGCATTCCCTGTAAAGTTTTAATCAGGCACAATTCTGTTGAGCCTGGAATGGGAAGAGAATAATGAGCTTCTATTTCGGGAGGTTACGATAATCAGAAATCCTGACAATACTGATTTCCTGCAAGGCACAAAAAAGCCATGGCCTCAGCTGGCAGGGTTGAAGTGCGTCCAGTTCTAATCTCTGTGAAAAGGGGATTGGTGCTTGACGAATACACCAGATCCCTGCATTCCAGAGCTCATGACTGTCTAATCTATAAGGACTCAGGCACAGATTTCCTGTTTTTTCCCCATCTTTTCTAGTGTTTAAAAAAAAAAAATCTATTCATTGATGCAGTGGGGAAGAAGCTGGGAGGACACAGAGTCCACATCCTTTTTCCAACCAGTGGGGATACCGAGGCAAAGGAAAGTTCTCTCAAGTTCAACAAACAGGATGGACCCACCAAATGGCAAGGAGTTATTTCTACTCTTTGTTTTTAAAACGATAGGATAAATTAGCAAATTTAAAAGCAGCAAATCCCACCATTCTACTCAGTAGACAAGTTTCATCCACGTGTGCATAAAGAGTTTCACCGTTGGCATAACAAAGACGGTTATTTTCAATAAAATCGATGTGGCTTGATCGTGAGACTGGATGTGGAGGCAGAGAACGATAGAAGGTGCAGACCTCTAGAAATCTGACTGGGGTAATCCGACATAGGTAAACCCCTTATGCGTTCCATCATCCTGAGAAACATCCCGAGAAAGAAGGCAGGACCTCATTTTCACAGCCTCATTTTCAGCTAGACTCAGCCACGTGACTTATGCACCACCAATCAGATG